TGCCCGTCATTGTCACACAGAGGGCATTCTGCTCATTGTTCAAATGGAAAACAGATACCCTTTTAGATAAGAAGGGCACACTACACAAAGAAGATGAGAGTTTCTGAAGATTCAAAATTGTGGGTGGCCCAGTGAGCAATGGAGAAATACATGGTATGTATAAGCAGGATCTTGCACATTACTAAGAAGCAGTATAGAAGAGATGTAGGGAAAGTATGATTAGACAATATGGGTCAATCGAGAAGCAAGAGTGAGAGGTAACGGACGGAGAAGATAGTTTGTGTGCTAATCAGGTGATCATGGAATGCTAAAATACCTACATGAAGATCTCTGGCATGTTGTACATATCCTGTAAGTAGGATTTATGGGAGGACAAGGACAAGAGCTGCACAGGGTGGCAAGTAGTGGATGGGTTACTGTTAACTCCAATCAAGCAGCTAATGGCATTGGTGAGAATACGGATCCACTGACGTATTTAAGCATAGGATCTTAGGATGCCCCAAATGAGGGGCACAGCCAGAAACTAAGTATTCCACAAAGCCAAGAGAGGGCACTGAAGGAGTTGGATGGAGTTTGAAGGGGACAGAGAAGAGGTAGGTAGTTAAGTAGGGTGATATGTGAGTTGGCAGTATGATAACTACATTATGAAAATCTTGAAATAATTTCAATAAAATGTACTTGATTCAAATAGTTCATGCGAAGGAAGATTATAGCATCATAGACTTTGAGATGGAAAGGACAATAAATAGAGAACATCTAGTCCAGCTCCATCATTTTACAAATGAGGAAACTGAGGGAGGTTCAGCAAGTTAACCGAAGTGACTTAAATAAATAATAAAAGAATGTGTTTGCTTCAAATGGTCAATTGCTGAAGCTTGGTATGCTTTTCTTTCTAACAAGATTCTCTACGATGTTCCTGAAAGATTCACATAAGGAAAAATGCTCAACAACTCACATATAACAAGATGCTAGTATAAACTCACTATTAAAAAAGGCTGTTGTGGAACTTCTCCAAAAACAAATGGTCATTTCTATTTAGAAACCTTGAATAAGTTGATTAAAAACTACTTTATAGCTTTTACACTGTTGATGAGTAACTGATAAGGTAATAATTTAAAATGTGGTTGCAAAACCTGAAGATAAAATTAACTTATTGAAAGAATGGTGAACAATTAACTTTATTTCAGGGACATTAACAGTGGTCAGTAAAACTGCCACAAGTAATAATAAATATGCCTTGTGTTTTTAAATAGCAGGGAATATGACAAATGGCTACAACTTCCCTTAGGTCCAGAAAAAAAGAACAGATTTAAAAGTATGAACATTATACAATGAAATATGTATAACAAACTAGCCTTATAAGAACCCATGAACAACAAAAGTCCCATGTCACCTTGACATCATGAAGATCTCATTGAAATAGTAATTAATGATTGTATCAATTCTAAAGTAGCAACTAGCTGCTATCATTATACAACTCTCTTATTACATAGCTGAGGAAAAGTTAGGTTAAAAAATGATTTTAAAAGTCAGTCATAAAATGCAAGGTAAATCAGAAATACATTAAATGGAAGGATGGAGGGAACAGGCATTTATTAAGGGCCTACTATGGTTCAGGCACTGGGTTAAATGCTTTCACAAATATTATCTTATTTGATCCTCACAACCACCCTGTGAGGTAGGTGCTATGATTATCCCCTTTTTATATTGAGGAAGCTGAGACAACGGAGGAGAAGTGACTTTCCTAGGGTCAAACAGCTACTAAGTGTCAGAGGGTGGGCTGGAACTTCTTCCCTTCTACAGGCCAGCACTCTGTCCAATGTTGAAGGGGAAATGGTCTAAGTAACAACTTGTGGACTACCTGGAAAATTATTTAAGTCAAAAGATGACAACAAAGCTTTTTTAACTCAAGAAAATACCTCTTAACACCTCTTTGGTGTCATGGTCCCCTTTGGCAATCTAATGAAGCTTACGGATCCCTTCTCAGAATATTTCTAAATGGATAAAATAAAATCATAAGACCACAAAGGAAACTCATCATATTGAAATGGTTATCAAAATATTACATTTTTTTAAGTTCACAGATCTCAGGTTAAAAACCCCTGCTCTAGATGGTACATTGAACTTAGTGTACCTCACAAGACTACAAATTTCACTGTGTTATAGAATCATTACACAAGCATTATCATCTTTTCATGCTAAGATTGATCAAAATGTTAAACTTAGTTCTTAGAAAATATAGTTTATTTGTATATCTGTTATGGGATGATTTTTCTTAACTTAAAAAAGACTGACATGATTGTAATAAAATTTACCAAAAGAAATTTCACTATTCTCCTGAAGTACATGGCAATTCTTTCCTGATTACAGAAATACGTTAATTGGTTATCTGGATTATTAACACTCAAAATGTCTGATAGTTAGTATCTAAATCACGGGTTCTTAACCTAGTCTCCCTGAACTTTTTTTAAGTATTTAAAAATTTTTTCTATATTTAAAAACCTTACTATAAGATTGGGTCTTGTAGGTTTCACCAGACTGCCCAAAGGAGGCCATACTCTAAATGAAGTAGAAAAACTGATTTGAAACACATAGAAAGGAAGAAACATGTAGAAAGCTGTCACAAAGAAGGAGGATAAAAGCCCTTGAGGACAGTAAACATATTTTTGCCTTTCTTTGCATCCTCAGTGTTTACTACGATGCCCAGAACATAATAACGGCTCAATGAATGCTTCTTGACTGACTTAGGAATTCAGCATGTTCTGCTAGCTTCAGGGGGCTCTTAGGTGGACACTAGAAGGAAAATCTCCCTAAAAATTAGAACTATTTAAAGTGCAATTGTGTTCTTGGGGAATCATGGATGTTTCCTCATTCTTAGTGGATGACCACTTGTTGAATAGATATTCTTCACTGCAGATAATGGTCTCTGAGATCCCTCCCAACTCTGAAATTCTTTGATTCTTAGAAACGACCTTGTGAAACAACCTGTGATTTTAACCACTCTACTTACAGTTATCACTAACATCTCTAGAGCAGGGGTGTCAAAACCCAATTAGAAAGAGGCCACCAAACTATGCATAAAGATCCCTGTAGGCCACATACTGAAAACCACATATTAATATCTTTATTTATTATGTTAAGCATTTCCCAGATGCATTTTTATCTGGTTTGGCTGCACTTAGGAGTGTAGCTGGCAGCCCTTGCCCTGGTCAGTCAGGTGTTTGACACCTCAATTCCTAGAGCACTGTAAGGTTTGCAAAGTGCTTAACTCACAACTTTGTGCACCTAAATTACTGAGGCTAGCTACCACCATCTTGGGGAAGCAATATTTTTTTATTAAAATTGAGGCACCCCTTCAGAAGTGGGGCAGGTAAAAAACATTATGGTATATAGGACATATCCACAGTGCTAAAAAGAAACACAACTTAATATTCTACAACATTCTTTCTAAGGAAAAACATGCCCTGAGGGGAAGTGCAGAGCAAAGTCAAGCACTGGTCACTTTAGTAAATATAAAATTGAACTATGGCACACACCATGTATAATAGATAAGCTGAGAGACTGAAGGATTCTCTTTTCTTTCTTTCTACTATATTTGGTTTTGTTTTGTTTTTTTTGGCAACTTTTTTGATGTGTTTTGCTTTTATATTACATAAATTTATAAATTACTCCTACTTCATAAGAAGTTTCTTATAACAAAGTAAAACTATTAAATAAAACTAATTATACAGTAGACTCATCTGAAAGGGCATGTACCAATTCATATCTATGGCATCCCCTACCTCCCTTTTAAAAAATTAATAGAAATATATTTTCTCCCACTCTCCATCCAATT